AGTCCCAAAGCATTGGAAAGGACCAGAGAATCAGTACCATCATTTGGACCATTAAATGTGGAAGCAAACGCGACATCTTCAACAACTATTGTGGTAAAATGGGGAGATGTTCCCAAGGAACATCAAAATGGCCAAATTGAAGGTTTCAAAGTATACTATGGAGCTGATACCAGATCCTTGGTACAATATAAATTAATTCCTAATAATGCAACCTTCACAACAACCCTAACTGAATTGAGAAAATTTGTCCTTTATCATATACAAGTCTTAGCTTATACAAGACTTGGTGACGGTCGCCCCAGCACTCCTCCTGTAAGAGTACAAACGTTTGAAGACGTACCCGGTGCACCTTCCAATGTTTCCTTCCCCGATGTATCATTTACATCAGCTAGAATCATCTGGGATGTTCCGGAAGAACCGAATGGTGAAATACTGGCTTACAAGGTAACATACCAAATCAATGACACGCATGTCACAAGCAAATACTCCAAGGAGTTCCCACCAAGTGATAGGACTTTCCGTGCTACAAAGCTCGAACAGGAACGGTACTATATTTTCTCGGTAACCGCACAAACACGTTTGGGGTGGGGTAAAACCGCCCACGCTCTGGTTTTCACTACGAATAATCGTGAACCACCCCAACCTCCATCTAGACCGCAAATAAGCCATAGTCAGATACAAAGCAAGCAGATTACCTTCAGTTGGACACCGGGTAGAGATGGTTTTGCTCCTTTGAGGTATTATATTGTTCAAAAAATGGAAAATAATGCACAATGGACGGATATTCCTGAAAGGGTTGATCCACAATTAACATCTTATACTGTCAGTGGATTGAGGCCATTCTCGAGCTACAAGTTCCGTATTCAGGCTACAAATGATATAGGACCAAGTAGTTTTTCACTGGAGTCGATTGAAGTTAGAACATATCCGGCCGCACCTAGTAAAGGAGTGAATAACTTGAAGGTTGTACCTATTACTACTACTAGCGTGCAGGTTTACTGGGATCCTATTGAGGAGACTCACTGGAGTGGGGATATCAGTACTGGTGGATACAGAGTTATCTTCCAGCCTGTTTCGGACTTTCCTACTGCATTACAAGCAACACCAAAGGAAGATGTTATGGGAATTCATGTAAGTTATGCAAATATTGATTTATTGTATGTTTTTTGACATATTTATTTTTTATCCAGCGCCGTAAGATGGTCCTAAGTGAACTCCTTCAAGACCGCAACTATGAAATCGTTGTAGTACCTTTTAACTCACAAGGAGAAGGTCCTGCCAGTCCTCCGGTAACTGTGTACGTAGGTGAGGCAGTACCAATTGGCGAACCGCGAGCTCTTGAAGGTGAAGCAGTATCTTCAACTGAGGTCCGATTACGGTGGAAACCACCTCAGCAGTCAATGCAAAACGGCGAATTGTTAGGATACAAGATCTTCTATTTGGTTACTAGTAGTCCTCAAGAGTTGGGTGATAAAAAAACCTGAGGAGGAAATTGAAGTTGTACCTGCAAGTGCAACTGGTCATAGTCTTGTCTTTCTTGATAAGTTTACTCAGTACCGAATACAAATTCTCGCCTTTAATCCCGCTGGCGATGGTCCACGCTCGAAACCAATCACAGTTAAGACTTTGCAAGGTTTACCTGGACCCCCAATGGATCTCAAATTTACTGATATCACCATGAACAGCTTGAAGGTATCTTGGAACCCACCAAAGAAACGAAATGGAGATATTATTGGCTACATTGTTACTTATGAAACCACAGAACAAAATGAAAGTAAGTACATAACCAAACATTACATAAGCGAATATAACCTAATTTATTTAAATTTTTAACAGAATTCAGTAAACAAGTCAAACAAAAGGTTTCAACAACATTCCTCAATGTCATTTCGTTGGAGGAACAAGTGACTTATACTTTTACCGTGCGTGCGCAGACCATTGACTTTGGTCCCGCTGTAACAAGCAATGTGACGACAGGACCTCAGGAAGGATCACCTAGCACTCCAAAAGAGTTGGTGTTGATTAAGACACTATCTAGTGTTGAGTTGCACTGGTTGAATGGTCCAACTGGTAAAGGTCCAATTCTGGGGTATTATTTAGAATGTAAGAGGAAGGATGACAACCGCTGGCAGACTGTAGCGAGGACAACTAATGGTCCACTACAAGATTTCACTGTTAGTTATCAGAGTTTATTGCCGAGCACATCATACAACTTTAGAGTCATCCCGTATAACAAATATGGTGTGAGTTTTCCGGCAACGTCGGATGAATATGTCTTAACACCGAGTAAACTTTACTTGGAATACGGATATCTTCAACATAAACCATTCTACAGGCAGACGTGGTTTATGGTTGCGTTGGCGGCCATTTCGATTATTATCATTATTACCGTAATCGCCATTTTGTGTGTGAAGAGCAAGAGTTACAAATATAAACGTAAGTATTCACATTATCATTAAAATTAAAAAGGAAGGTAAATAACATTTTTGTTTTATGTGTTTTGTAAATAGAAGAAGCACAAAAACTTTGGAGGAATCAATGGCGATGTCAATTGACGATCGCCAAGAACTTACCATGGAATTATACCGGTCGCGACACGGAGGCGGAAATCTCAGCAACTTGGGGACGATCAGCAAACGTGGCACTCTTCATCGTAAGCAAGTAATGCCACCGCCTCCGCTAGGAAAATCTCCGCCGCGACCATCGCCTGCATCTGTGGCTTATCACTCCGATGAAGAAAGCTTAAAGGGGTATGACGAGACGCCCGACGATAGCAGCGTCACCGAGAAACCCTCCGAGATGAGTTCCACTGACTCGCAGGTAAATTAACTAATTACTTAACGGTGATGTATTTCGACCTTCCAAAAAATACGTTCTCTGAAGGTAAAAGAAAGCCGTGTTAATCTGTTTCTTTTTTTGGTTGCTTCTATTGGTGCCAATAAAGAGATCTTGTATTCTTTCCATTTGCAGGTGAAACAAAAAGAAATTATTATTGAAATTGTGACAGGTATTTGGAACAAATCATATTACGAGTACGAAATGCTTCTTTTGTTCTGTTCTATCATTTCAATTCAAGAATACTCACCGAGTTATTAAAAAAACATCGATTACGATAAATAAAATAAAACCATTACTATTCTGGCTGATTATGAATAAGTAAGATAAAGTTAAAGTTGTGCACTGAAATATGATTTCTGCATGCTGCAACGAAAGCTTTACGTTTACAGTTGATACCATATATTTCAGTAAAATTGTTTCGTCCGTTTTAGCACCATTTTGAATCCGTTATTCATGTTGTCCGAATGTTCATTCTCATTTTATTTTATTAGTTACGTATGTCTCGATTGTGTTGATTGAAATTGTTCTGAATTTATTTGCAGGCCTCTGAGAGCGAAAACGAGAGCGTCCGCTCCGATCCGCACTCGTTCGTCAATCACTACGCCAACGTGAACGATTCCCTGCGGCAATCCTGGAAGAGGCAGAAGCCTGTGCGGAACTATTCTAGCTATACGGACTCAGAGCCGGAAGGCAGCGCCGTCGTGAGCCTCAATGGCGGCCAGATCATCCTCAACAATATGGCGCGCTCGCGGGCGCCGCTGCCCGGCTTCTCATCGTTCGTATAGCGCTAATAGTTTTTTAAGTAATAATGTAATGGATGACAATTCGCAAGCAAACGAAATGGCTGACGAAGAACACGTGACAAAGATTAATAAGTTAAGTTGATGTTGCATTTAGGTAAGAATTACTTAAGACAATCGACTCGAAACAAACTTAGTGCAATTAACAAACGAAAGAAGCGAATCTAAGTAGTGCCAGAATCAATCACTATAATTGCCATTGTAATCAACAAAAAAATACTAGCGGTTCATATAGATATAATTGGTCTAATTATAAACTCGACGAATCGACAAATACTGCGATTTGTTGCATTATCTCACTTGAACAAGACTTGAACGTTTACATAACATAACATAAGTAATATGTATGGCACTGATAAGTACTCGTAGAACCCTTTGATATGACTATCTAGCCCAGTTCAACAATAATCGACGGGCGTTTTAACTTTGTACATATACAAAACAAACGAAACTAAAAAAACTAACGCGATGTATTTGCGGCGTTCGTATGCAAGTACGTTCTACATTTAGGCTGGTAAGCTTTACGACTTTCTCCCAAAAATCTGCCCAAATCATTATTGACTATGACAATATTGTTTAGGACGACTTTAGGACTCAATATTTTAAAAAAGCACTCGAGAATAAGAAAAAAATCTCAACAAAGCTTTTGAAAATGTTGATTTCTAAGTCAAAGCGTAGGCAAATTTTTAGACTTCTATTAGTGTTTTATAATTATTTGTACACTATCCGAACACACCTTTGAACTGACTCCTGAAACTGATTTCCGAAGGTAAACTCAACTTGTTGACATGTAAGCGTAACATGTATCGATATCTATCATAATAACGAACTAAAGGTGAAAAACACAACTTAAACAAAATGAAAGAAAAAAAAATTGAAGCAATTATTAAACTATATTAAAATATAACGATGTTTAAACGAAAGTTTCGACTCGGATGTATACAGATCCGAAGTGTTGCGTTGAAAACTCTTGAAATTCTAATGGAAACCCAACAAATTTAAACTGTAAGCTGTTCAAAGACTACAAGACTTAATTTTAACTTAAATTTAGTGAATTATACGCGTCGGTTTTAGTTTTAAGCGTACACACACACTGCCCAGAACAAGCTGCGAATCATTACTGTTCTTATTTATTTAATCATTCTTGTATACTTGTATTTATGTGTTTAGTTATTCCGAGTATGAGTTTCGACGTTTGCGTATGAGTATGAACTTTTGTAAATGTAAAAAGTAAACTGTGATTTAATGATTAATGAATGAATCTACTTAACAATGAGAAATGAGGAACTATTAAAAAACTATATAAAAATGAAATGAAATAAACAAAAATATGAACATTACGAAGTCAATATTTGGAAGATATTTAGTTTTAAGTTATTTTATAAGTTATTTATTTACTGTTTAAACAACTTAATTGTAAGCCTCACAATTGTTCATCCATTTAGTCATGCCAACATTGACTTCGCCCGCTCCGGCAGTTTGTTTGATCGCAGAATAAGCGGCTATGTCAACGATGGAGAAATCACCAAAGATGAACTTTTCCTTGCCTAGCTTTTTGTTCAGACGCTGGAAAAGAGGTAAACGCTCGGACTTCGTCTTGGATCGCGAGATGTTGTAGCAAGTGTCCAGGTAGGAGTCCATTTCGATATTATCGTTGTAGTTTAGGGATGATGTCAGGCGGGCTAAGTAACGGAGTAGATTGACTTCCCCCTGGATAGGTCTTGCACCAGTTAGTTCCAACTGATTAACTCCAACTATAAATTCAATAGAATTTTAAACATTAAAATAGGAAATAGGAATTATTTACACTTACTTGTTTTCCAAATTAATCTTACTGTTAAACAAGTCAGATTTGAACTTGTAACAGGTTCTGGGATGCTTTGAACAAAAGCCCGAGTATTTTCAGGCAGTTGAGTTACAGTAGAATGAATGTATGACTGAATATTGATGGTGATTTTATTCTTCCACATTTTCTGCAGTAAAAGTAAGAAGTAAGGTGGGTTTGAAGGGTTTACATTGATTGAAATTTCAGTTGGTAGCAATTTCACCTGAAATATGAAAATTTTCACTTAGAAATTGTTCAAAATTCTTTGTTTTACTTACATTTAGACTATCACATGAACTGGTATTTTTAACATTTCCTTTAATAGCATTTACTGCACATGATGTGGTGGAACTTGTTCTTAAAGTATCTCGAATGGCAGTCATCTGCTTCTTTAGGTCTTCTAACTGTTGAAGAATCACTTCTTGTCTTTGCTGGACTAGTGCCATGGTCATTGTTTGATTATTCTGTAAAATTAATTCAAGTCAGTTAAAATTACACAGAAATTTTTGAATTTGGTCATTGTGGCTAATATTTATGGGTTTTGAGCTATTCTCACTTAATTTTCACTCTTCTCTTGGCATATCAAGTTTGGGGCAGTAATGAACAAATATGCATTCAGTGTGTAATCTAGCAAAGCTTTTTGACAGTTGCTTAACTGAGCTGAATGAGTTAGTTGTGCACCAGCCGGCGGCCGGAATTACCTGCCCGTTCTTGCGTGGCCGCGTCGCGGGTAATAATTTGTGCTTCGGCGACGATTCGGCCGTTTCCAGAACGCGCGCGGTCGCTAATTGCGATTTGTTTTAGTCGGGGGTGTAGTGAACATGCGAATGAACCTTTAAAAACTGCTTAACCTGCTCGCCAACGAGCTCCACGCTGGCCGAGGACGTAGTGCCATTGTTGCTCTTCGCTGCAGTGACGACGCCGTCGCCGTCGATCGCGCCTTGGATGATCGGCAAGCTGTACATGCATGTCGGTAACGTCACGGGCATGTCATGCCGCACAATCGGCCGCATCGCGTACATCTTAATTGGGCCGGCCATTTGCGAAAATATAATTCATTCGGTGAAAAAAAGGCTCGAGTCGATTGTAAATTCTAATATGGTGTGCGGACACGTTGATAAATTGACCTACATGACCTTGAGAGTGCAGGCTGGCCATATCTGGGATATCATGGTCCGGTTCAAGTCATTTTTAAAGTTTATTTTTGGATTTAAGCATAGAAGTCAGCTAAAAACAAGTGCAATTAGTGAAATTCTATTTAATAGTAGTGTTTATAATCGTTACACATGGATTCAGCATTTTAATTTCAAGAATTTGGCAGTTTTTAAAGTGCTACTAATCGAAGTGCGCTACTGTGTACTTGTTTTGAACTTGTTCAAATTTGACAACCGCCGACTCAAAGCACGCTTCCGTTATGCACCGGAAATTACATAATATTAATGCAAAACAATAACCACGGAAATGCAAATCGTCAGGAAGACCGTAAATAAATCAAGTATGATTATTGCAGCGTGTTTTGAAGGTGTTCAAGAAGAAATTGAAGCAATCGCCTAGCAATGCGTGCGATTACGGCGCCATCTGCAGTGACGTCCGTTCATTATCAGTGCTGTGCGCCACGATTGGCCGTCGTTCCCGTCCGTATGTGCTGAATTTTCATCGAAAACGTCGGGATTAAATTGCGATTTCCACCTGAACGGCATCCATCCGCGAGAAAAACGAGCCGGGCGACCTGTGATTCATCTCGTACAGGTAATTTCGTTTTCGAGCGCAATAATCGCCGATACGAATTGTCATGGCGTCCATTGTCGGCGACCAATGAGCGTGCGCGCTGCGAGCGTTGTCCGCCGCATCGCCGTTCGTGCAGCGTCAGTGTGGTTGAGTGTGAGATTAGCGCAGCGCGTCCGTTAATGGCGTAGACAACCCGCCTAAGACGAGGCGCACATTCATAGCCGAAGGCCGCACGCGACCCTCGTGCGGAAAACGTCTCGCCAGAGTAACCAACGGTGCATTCGTGCGAATTTTCTCAGTCGATCAGAGAGCGGTCACGTGACGCCGCCAAATCGAACGCGGCGGCAACGAGTTGCATGGTAAAATGAGCACCGCGATCAGCACGCATTTTTGACATTCGTGTGTTTGTAAATAAAGAGCGCCGCACGTGAGTGACTTGATGGTCGTTGTCAGGGCGACGACGACGACGCGGTGGTAATGTCGGCGCGCGGCTCCAAGAAGCGCGGCCGCCCTCCGAAGGTGCAGGTGCCGGAGCGCACCACCAAGAAGTTCCAATATCAACTGCTCAAAAAGCCGAAATATCTACAGAACCTCAATCGCGGTTCTGACTCACCATTGAGCACACCGTCAGCTTCACGCGCATCATCACCGCAGGTGGAAGCGCCGCGTCGAACACGAGGCACGCGTTCCAGAGGCAAAAAACGCGCGGCCACAACACCCGGAGGTGGTGCGTATCAACGCCGTGGGTATAATCCACAAGCAAGTGAGTACCACGAGTCTGAATATCACTATGGATCAGACTTCGGTGATGATTCTTCGGAGAAATCCGAGCCGGAGGATGAGGTCGTGGTCTCGGCGTCGGATAGTGAAATATCCGTCGCTGATCAATCGACGGACAGCGATTTCTCGCTTAGTAGCTTTAGCACGGTGAGTGGTACACCACGGCGGCCACGGCCTCCAACACCCGAACCGCTGTGGCTGCAAAACAAACCGATACCTCCGCTAGATCTACCAAAAGCTCCGATGATTTACTCGTGCCACGTAACGAGATTATGCCGGTGGTGAGCATCTATGAAGTGCTGCGGCATTTCAGAAACCTGGTGCGTCTTTCTCCGTTTCGGCTGGAAGACTTTTGCGCGGCTATTATGTGCGAGGATCAGAGCAATCTCTTTGCCGAGGTGCACATTATGCTATTGAAGGCTCTCTTCAGAGAGGAAGACTCTCAGCAGACACACTTTGCACCACTTGATCAAAAAGACAGTGTGAATATATCTCTGTATCTTTTGGATTATGTGACTTGGCCGGAGGTGCTCCGTTCGTACGTTGAGAGTGACTCTAGTTTTGACGTGACAGTGTTGAACATTTTGAACACCACAGACTATCCTTACACTAGTTTGGAGAATAAAATCACGGTGATGCGCTTTCTAACTGATCAGTTTCTGACGACGAATCCAGTGCGGGAAGATTTAATAAGTGAAGGTAAGATTAAAATACATTTTGAGGCAAATAAAGCAATAAACTGACGTTTTGTGTTTTTTGAATTTTTTTAGTACCGATGCATTATGACGATCACTGTCGAGTATGTCATAAACTCGGCGACCTGCTATGCTGCGAAACTTGCCCGGCCGTATTCCATCTCGAATGTGTCGACCCGCCGTTGGTTGACGTGCCTGTCGAGGACTGGCAGTGTAATATATGTCGCTCACATCGCGTCAGTGGTGTGGTCGATTGCGTGTTGGACGTGGAGAAACAGGGACAATTGTGTCGGCAGGAGCAGCTCGGCTTTGACCGCTTTGGAAGAAAGTATTACTTTTTATGTCGACGGATATTTATGTAAGTAAATGTTACACTTGTAAAAACGTTGGTTTATGCAATTTCTTTATTTTTATTTCAATATTCTAGTGAAAATGAAGAAAATGATGTGTGGTATTATACGACCACAACGCAATTTGATGAACTACTCAACGTGCTCGATTCGGAAGAAATGGAGGCTGATTTATGCAGAGAACTCAACGATTTCAAGGATGAAATCATTCGTCAAATGGAACTTACCGAAAAGTTAACCAATCAGTTTAAGGGCAACAAGAAGACTTATCTGGAACAGGAAAATCAAGCTATTCTTAAGTCTCGGAGAGAAGCTGATGAAGAAAAAACCGAAGAGGATAAAGAGTTTGAAGAAACCAAAGAAGTTGTGACCACCACTACTACCACTACCGAAATAACTACCACGACAACCACAACAACAATCCGAGGTGAAGACTCCAATGATTCATCAGGTGATAAAGAGAAAGACATTGTGACAAGGTCTAAGACTGGTTCACTCACACCGCGCACATTTAATATCGATGAAATCCGCAAGAGATCAAACTCGATTCTGAACAAAGATGCACTCGGCAATGATGAAAGAATAACGCGATTAAAGTCTCTCCAGATCGCGAACGGTACGTTTATGTATAAGCTCGGTATGGAAAATCAGTTTAAGGGTTACGTGAATCAATTCACAACGAATATCATCGCGTTGAATAAACCTCAGCGAAATGAAGAGCGCGATAAGAAGCGACATTTGAGTCATAAGTTCTCGTTGACGACCGCGTCGGACTTCAAATGGGCTGGGGTAACGACGGGTAATAAAACAGCGTTACTGCAAACGCTACGACAGACGCTTGTACAACTGGAGCAGGCTATACAGGCTCCATTTATGCACCCCAACTGGCCGCTGTTGAAGAAAACTTGGCTGGGTGTGGTGAATCAATGCCAACATGCGAAGGACTTTGCGAAAGCGCTAATTGTTTTGCAGGCTTGTATCAAGCCGTGTATGTTTGCAAATGTGTGGCATGATCAATTAGGACATATTAAACTTGTGAGGGTTACAGCCGCCGAACGTGAAGAGCGCAAAAAGGTTGAGAAACGAGAGAAGAAAGAGCGCGAAGAGGAAGAGGAACGAAATAGATTGATTATTTCTAGTTATGTTAAGTATACAATGAGTTTTAAGCATCAATTGTGGAAGCAGAAGGGGGAAGAGTATCGCATCCATGGTCGTTGGGGATGGTTGTGGTATTCGACGGCGCGGATGGTGAATTTCGTTAATTCTAAAGAGTGTGGACTCGCGGCAGGACCGCTGAAGACCATGGTTCAGGTGCGAACGAAAGACGGCTTGAAACTCATCGCTGTCGATAAAGAAATGTATAATCACCTCAAGAAAAATTTTGAGATTGATGATGGCGGTATTAAAGACGAAATTAAGTTGGAAGATGATGCAATGGACATTGAAGAAGATACGACCATGCAAGGTGATGATGTTATTCCTGCAGTATTAAAAGATTTAAAAATTGTACGACCAGTGAAATATTTTGAAGAAATTGATGTCAGCAAAGCATTAACTGCGTCGGGCCGACTTTTATATCCAAAGATAGCGAAAAAGTCGAGTCTTGACGAGTTGCTCACACGGAGAATTCATCTGCGGGCAATCGAAGAGAGGAAAATCGCTCAGGCGAAGTCGGAAAGTCAGACCACCGATTCGACTGATACCAATGAGGACGTTGATGTGGAATCAACAGATAATCCAGTGAATAATACATCAACGTCGCAAGCGCCCGCGACACCAGTCAGTAAAGAAATGCTCAATAACATCGCGAAGAAAATTCAACAGTTGAGACTTCACTATACTGCAATTTCAAAGTTTGGGAAGGAGTTTCAGTGTTATTCGAAGGGTTGCAATTCCAACAATGTCGCATCAAGTTGTTACTCGCCGATTTGTGTTCAAAGGAATAAAGTTCGTAAAGAGCTGCTGTTTCTGCTGCGGAAGGCGAATGTACATACGAATCAAAAATTGGGATTGACTCTCAATACAGCAAATAATGGTAGTAATATTAAGACGACTTCAATTCTGGAGGCTAAGCTGACGGAACCTTCGAGCACGTCAGCGACGAGTGGTGAATTAGCGAAAGTTGGTGCTTCCGAAAAGGATGTGGACGCAGCTGACAATGAAGCTACTTTACGAAGCAATTTAGTTACCACTCTTTTACAAGCGACTGTTTGTGATGATCAGGTTTATGCAGGTATGATCCCAATGGAGAATCCTCCTTTCATCAAAGACGAACCTTTCGATGCTGATGATTGGAATGAACTGGTAGCTTCCAATCAAATTGCAGCCGAGCGCGAAGATGTTAAAAATGTAAAGAAGCCGAAGAAGCGCGACGTAGAATTATTGAGCGATTCCGAGCAACATCAAGAAGTTGACATGGAAATTGATATGACCCCTGAGGATGTTAAGGAGATGATTCTTGGTGGTGGAAATAGCAAGAGTAGTAATAGTAGTTCCACGAGTAGCACTAGTAATAATGGTACTGGTAGGGCAACTAGAAGTAAATCGATTATTACCACCACAACAACAACTACAGTCACTTCTACGACCACTTCATCAAAAACACTAGTTGATGGTGTTGTGAAAAAGGAGTCTGTTTCTGCGAAGAAAACCAAGGAGGAAACTAATACAACCGTTTCAAATGGTAGGACTATTCAGACATTGAATGCCAAGTCCCAAACACAATCACATTCAACATACCACGCAGCTTGGAATCGAAGATTCTGCGCAATGAAAAGCGCGAGACGCGAAGAGAGTACAGTAAAGTCTGAAACCACCGTTGATGGCTTTGAACGTGTTTACTCCTCGACCAAAACTCAGGGTAAAGTTTACCTGAAACGGATTACCATTATAGGAGCTGATAAAAAGAAGAAGAAGGGTGCTGTGAAGTATCCACAGTGTTCCACCTTCAAAACTGTGAAAAATTTCCGCTCACTTTTTGTATTACCCAAACACGAGTCTAAGAAACTAGCTCGCAATGCAGGTAGGATTTATATCAATGGTTTCAACGCGATGGCAAAGAGCAATAGCTTGGTATGGCCTTATCCTTGCGCTCGACCATTATTTAAAACTTGCTGGGTCTTCCGGACCGTGAACCTCAAATCAATCGCAACTGCCGCTTTACAGTTAAAAATCCTCTGGGCGTGTTTACGTTGGGATGATATGCAAGTAAAACCGCAGAATCAAGATGGTAAACATCAAATCACAACAGAGACTGAGATTTTGAGCTTGGAGCTGTTGAAGCATAGGCATACTGGGCCGTTCATGGAACGCACACAATATTTGAGGAGAAAGGTGGTGATTCCTTTGGAGTTGCCGAAGACTGTAAGAGAAGTTACTTCCATTAGAAGCGGATTGCGGAAGAGGAAGAGGCCCGAGTCGCCGCAGAGTACAGATCCGCAGGTTACCGAAGAATGGGTGGATGAGGATAAGTTGGAGCTGTGGGAGATTAAACAATATGGTGAAAAGTTGGAGAGGCAACAACAACAGGTAATCACGCGTAGTCGGACTGGTAATCTTCCTCCGGCACGGGTTATTTCTGAAACTACGGATGGGATTTCACCGGCAAAAGTATTGGTCACATCTAAACAGGGTGCTGAAGACTTTAAAGAAAAGATGGAGCAACAACTTCGGCTACAGAGAGCTGCACACCAACAAAAACGTGCGTTAGAGTTGAAGAATGCTCAAGGACAAATTATTAAGATTGGAGGTGCTGCTACACAAGGTAAGTTTGGTTTTATTTTTGCATGTTTCGTTGAAAAAGCTAAATTTAACATTAACTTCCCTTGGTAAAGCTGCTTCTACTGCACAAGCAACTACAACTAAAACAATACAACCGAAAGGTAACACACTTTCGATTTAAATTTAAAATTATATCAGTTTTGTTGGCATTTTACTTTTTCTGTAGTTACTCCAGATGGTAAACTGCAAGTTGTGAAGAGTGTAATGCCTGGTCAAGCTGGCAAGACTTTAACTTCACTTCTCACTGCAAATAACACCGCTGGCGGTAAGCAGTTCACTGGAAGACGCATTTTCATGACCAAAGCCGCCGATGGCACTACACGCGTCCTCACTGGAAGTCCACAAATCATTAAAGGCCCCGGTGGTAACCAAATGATCAAGTTACAACCCAATCAACAAGTCGCCCAAACTGCCACAGGTAACTATCAACAATATATTGGTATACACAAAATGTGACTCATTGATTTTTAGCAACACCAACAGTTACTGCAGCACCGCAAACGCCGAAACAAGAAACTACGCCGCAAAGAGTACAAATCATGAGAACACCTGATGGTCGGTTTACTGTGAAGGGTTTGATGCCCGGTCAGCAATTGGTGCAAATGCCCGATGGAAAATTACAGGTGTTAAGTACTACCGTCTCGTCTGCTACTCCAACTGCGACAAGTTCTTCGGTTAAACCGACGGTAGCTGCGACGCCGACTTTGACTACGACAATTGCCGCCAATAAAATTGTAAAGACTCCTACAGGAAAGGTCATATTACAAACGGTCGGCAACAAGTTGCCAACCAATCTCACCACGCCGACTAAACAAATCATTATCAAGCAAGCGGCGGTAACGCCTACTACGCCACAAACACAACAAAAGCTTGCCACCTCCATTGTTGTTTCTGGCACGCCAATGATTCAACAGCAAGTTGTTACCACTAGTGCCATTGGGCAACAACAACAACAGGTATCTTGATTATCGTTTTATTTTTTATTTTATGCCTTGACTAATCTTTTTGCTGCAACTTTCAGATAATTACGAATCAAATTGTGGTGAACAATCAAAACCTGGCCGCGCAGATTGCGCAGGGTAAAGTTCAGGTGGCCACTATCAACGGTCAGCAAGTACTCATTCGCCCTACGGGTAATAATCAAGCGCAGATTGTCGCGCAGCTTACGCCAAGCGCGGTGACTACATCGCAAGTATCACCGCAGCAGCAGGTACAGCAGATTACACAGCCAGTTGTACAACAGCAGGTGATCACTACTGCAGCTAAACAGGTCGAACAACAAGCGCAACAACAGTCAGTTGCAGCTAAAGTAGACAATTCCATTGACCCAGCTACCATGGAGCATTTACTCGCTGGGCAACCGCCTGGTACGGTGATAAAGTGCGTAACTGCTCAAGTGATACAAACTCAGCAAGGGCCGCGAATTGTTTTGCAAGGACTCCAGGGTGCTGATTTTACTCCACAACAATTGGCAGCTGTACAACAGCAGGTTAAACAACAACTACTTAAAGGTATGTATTTAATTAAAGTATTTCTTTTTCCATCTACATAGATGCACATGTTATATTGTATGATTTTAATTGTGTTTGTTTTTACAGCCCAAGCATCAACTGGCAAACAGGGAGTTTTGGGTCCAACGAAGATTTACCTCGCGGTTCAACCGAATCAGACCGATGCGGGAGGAGCTGCCACAGTCGACGCCCCGCCTCCTTTGACACCGGTGGTGCAGAATGTGCAGCAAGAGATCCAACCGCAGCAGGTATGCAACCTAAACAACTTTAAAAATTACCGCTTAATAATTTCAACGCTTTTTTGCTTGTTATTTCTCTAATCATTGACTAAACTCGCGCACGTTGTGATGCTTTTATCAATAATTTTATTATATTTATTAACTGGGAATGCTATTACTGAAATAAATTGACTGACATGCTTTTAGAAGGTTGATTTCTTTTTATAAGTACCTTAACGCATTTCTGTTTGAAATATTGCCGCAACGCGTTTCATGAATACTCGTTGTAGGTCGTGGAGCAACGTCAGGTGCTCGTCAATGGGCAGCAGACGAACAGTGCACTGCTGCAGGCGATGAAGACCAACATGCTGGAGGGTACTATGTCTGCCCAGACGGCGGTGCCACAACAACCTCAACCGCAGCAGCAGATTGTCGCCTCGGCAACGACGGCGATCGCGCCCGCTCTCGTGGAGAACAAGCAGTTTGTCGTCACGCCGGACTACATTCAGCAAAGTATGTTAATTTACCATCAACCTTCCGTTATTGTTTACAATCCGAATTGCGCGTACCCATTGCAAAACGACTACATCACTCATACCTACCATCATATTAATCATCAGTAGGCGAGTAGGGTGGCGAGCGAAATGTTAAACATGAAACTTACAAGTGCGCTAAACAAATCAGTTGAACACACGCGCGCGCGCGCGCGCGTTTTAAGAATGCGACCAGATTATCTAAGCCATGTGTTGTTGTTGTTTCCGTAACGAATAAGCGAATGAGTGGTGGTGTTGACTGATTGATTGGTTGGTCTCACACACACACGAGGTTTGTTTCTCTCTATTCCTTCGACTGTGATATTTTGCGAGCGAAACCAAAGCAATCACCAAAGCGGTGGCGCATGCGACTAACATAGGATAGATGAACAAGCACACAATTTGTACCAAAACCTCTAATTTCTCTCTTTTTGTATGTTTCCAAATTACGAATGAAATAAAAACGTTTACGAAAACCGAACACATGTGCGAAGATAATTTATATTGTGTCCAACTGTTTTGTTATTTTTATTTTAAGTTTCACAAATTATTACTTTCTGTCGTTTTGCTTTGGGTTTTCACTTTTTTTGAGTTTTACTATTCTTGTGTTTTATATTTACTCTTTACGCTCACACTTGCGCCATCATCCCTACGATCCTGACATTGTTTTCTCTTTTCGCACGCTTCAGCTATTCGAACGGCGTTGAAGCAGGAGAATCTTAATCCTGAGATTGAAGAGAAGTTGCTCCAGCTGCAGAGGTACCAAGAAAAACAAATGAAAAACGATGATACACCTTCAATGGGCGGACGTACAGCCGGCGGCCATAATTCGATGCGGAATGTTACGCCCATGAATGTGGTACGGAAACGCCCATTGAGTATGTCACGCGGTGATGAGGACGACGACGAATGGGTCATGGATACTCCAAAACGGCCACGCCCCAGTCGCAATCCTCTGGAAACCATCAAACGAGACCATGATCATCATCAAAGGTAATTTAGTGGTATTTTTAAAGATTTCAATGATGTTTAATGTAAACTTTTTGATATAGTTCCGTGGAAAACGTGATAAAACCTATGATTCCATCCCGAAATAAACGAGTTATCGTGAAGGAGCTTACTCCTGAACAGCGGGCCACGTCTATGAAGACCAAGGCGATGGTCAGTTTGTTTAGACACAAGGAAATCTTGAAGAAAGATATTCTACGGAAGCGCGCCCTGCTCGAGAAGGAACTCCAAGCTGAGATTCATGTAAGTAATCTTAACAATATCATTATTATTAATAATATACTAAAATTCGTTATTTTCTTTTGTATCTTTAGAAGGAAGTTGCTGATGAAGTGGCTGCCACGCGAGTTGAACAAGATAGTGATCGCATATCCAAGCCGGATGAACCTACGCGAACTCCATCGACGGGCAGTAGTCGTCGCAAAGCAAATGCGGTGCCCCAACCAACGACGCCTGTGATTGAGAAACCATCGAACAAGTCATCGCATCGTCGTTCCGGTGGCCATAAAATGGCCGTATCGCCCGGTAAAAATAAGAAGGAGAAACTGTACTGCATTTGTCGAACGCCATACGACGAGACCAAATTCTACGTGGGTTGCGACCTGTGTAACAATTGGTTCCATGGAGACTGCGTCGGAATTACCGAGGAGGCTAGCAAAAACATTTCTGAGTTTATTTGTCGAGAGTGTAAGCATGCGCGCGAGACTCAAGAATTGTTTTGTTTGTGTCGCCAGCCATATGACGAATCTCAGTAAGTTTTGAATTTTGTATGATTTCGAAAATTGTGTTAACTTTGTTTGTTTAACAGGTTTTATATTTGCTGCGATCGATGTCAGGATTGGTTCCATGGGCGTTGCGTTGGCATCTTGCAGTCGGAGGCTGATAATATCGACGAGTACATTTGTCCAAATTGTCAGCGGAATTCTTCTGTGAACTACGCGAATATGAAGGACCTTAGTAACAAGAATTTCGACGAGTTGCGAAGATTAATCAAGCAAATTCAGGTATGACATGAAACGATTGTTGTATGTATTGTTTGCTAACGTTTTTATATTTTCAGGCTCACAAAAGTGCATGGCCGTTTGTGGAGCCTGTGGACCCGACCGAAGCTCCGGATTACTACAAGGTCATCAAAGAACCAATGGGTAAATATCACGCACTAAACTTTCGTGGAGAAAATTTTAATTTTTATATTTTTGTACAGATTTACAAAAAATTGAAAATAAAATCAACGAGCGAATCTACAACAAGTTAAGCGAATTCATCGGCGACATGACGAAGATTTTCGACAACTGCCGCTATTACAACCCCAAGGAGTCGCAGTTCTTCAAATGCGCCGAATCCCTGGAGGCATACTTCGTCAACAAGATAAAATGTCTGCGGGAGAAATTATACGACAACTGAGTCGTTCGGTAGTTTTTACGAAAGCATAGTATGCAGATCTCAAATGAAAACCACACGAGTGGGTTAATAAGGCAGGCAAAAAATCAATTATTATCACAGCGCTGAATGATTGTTCGGTATGAAATATGCAGCAATCTTCGAAACTTCTCTTCGCGTGCTCGGGGAGGCAAATCAAAATGGCGTCCAAGCTGCTTTCACATAACGCTCGTGCACGCCCGATGAGCAGCGTCTTTGTACATAAAATTTTCTGTATTATGATGTGTAGGAGTTTTCTTTTTAAATTAATTTGTAGGTAATTTTTTACATAGTGCGTGCGGCACGGCGCGCGATCGTTTTATATATTATCGAGCTCGAGCCTGTTTTTCACGTCACCTCATGATAAGTTCATCCAACACTGATTTTGATATCATTAGATGGAAATCATCTTTTGTGATTTTTATGTTGGTTATCTTATCGTTTACTCTTACATTTAACTCGCAACATTGTTGTCTTCAGAAATTAATTAGTTTTGTTTAGCGTTTGGCCAGTTCTGTCACTCGGAATGCGATGCCATTTTTGTATATAATTATTCATAATACAGATGTATAATTTCTCATTCCTTTTCAACTATTAAATAATTTAACAAATACGAGAAGTCTTTTTGTACATAAGCCACGCCTTGATTGTGGGCGTGACTGGAACATTGCTAATATGGTATTAATGTTGGTTGTCACAATTTTACAGGTTTAAGTAATTTAAACGCTACTCTACATATTGTCTTCGGTTTTTCATCAAGACGAAATTAATTTGTTATTTTTAATTTAGTTTAAATCAACTAATTATTTGTACATCCTGTGTATTAGTTTATTTTGACCTTGTGCGTCTGTCATTTTTACCGAACTTTGCCGACCTCTTGGTGTAAAACATAACCTAAGAATTTTTCTTGTTTTATCTGGTTGTAAACAAAACATGACGATGACGGGAGATCAACAGCTTCCGGAGAACGAACAAATTATATTGGCGACGGCTGGTTACGACCACACAATAAAATTATGGCAGACACACAGTGCTATTTGTCAGCGCACAATGCAACATTCCGAATCAGTAAGTTATCAGTAGAAAATCTTATGTTAGATGTTAAATGTTCATGTATGTTTCCAGCAAGTAAATATGTTAGAAATCACACCAAATCGCAACTTACTTGCTGCTGCGAGTTATCAGTACATTCGAATGTATGATTTGGGATCAAATACTCCAACTGCTATAATCACCTATGAGGGTGTATCTAAGAATATAACCTGTGTGGGATTTAATAATAGAGGTTCATGGATGTATTCTGGTGGTGAAGATGGAAAGGTACGTATATGGGACGTCGAGCGATCAACGAATATTTCACACTCGTATGATGTGAATGCTCCTATTACCAGTGTCAAGTTGCATCCTAATCAAGTAGAACTTATTATTGGTGATCAAAACGGAACTATACATTCATGGGATATGAGGACTAATGCTGCATTACAATATGTAAGTTGTAAGCTGAGTTTGTTTGTTTAGATTGTCAAGCTTTTATTTTTCTTGAGGTCTGTCTATAAATTTATATACTGTGAAACAAATTTCAGATTCCTGATGGAGATAGTATGATCCTTGATGTGGCCATTAATCCAACTGGTACTACCCTAGCTGCTGTTAACTCAAAAGGCAAATGTTACATTTGGTCTCTGGTGGGTGGTGAAGGTGATGAGCCTATAATTCTGCAACCATTGAAGGTGTTCGAACCACACACGCGACATGCGCTGAAATGCAAATTCAGCCCAAATTCTAGGTAAATATAATGATGAATAGTTTATGTTATTTTATTTCATACTGACTTAATTGGTCTTGCAGCATGTTTGTCACGACATCGGCAGATCATTCGGCGAAAATCTTTAAGACCAGCGACTATTCTTTAGTGCAAGAGCTTCGACACAACGACCAAAGATGGGTTTGGGATGCGGCTTTTAGCGCCGACTCAATGTATCTATTTACGGGGTCTTCTGATAACGCTGCGAGATTATGGAATGTAAATACAGGTAAAATTGAACGGGAGTACTGTGGTCATCAGAAAGCAATTACATCGATTGCCTTCAGGGATGTTGTTATGGCTATATGAATATTTAACAACTGCGTATTTGTAAACTATATTTATATAGAAATGATTTGTTATTCATGAATTTCGTTAAGATTTAAAAAAAAAACTGGACCGATTTCAACTATTGTTTATTTATATGAGGGACCCTCACTTGATTTGGTATGATCAGTTTACGACAACACAGGGTATGAAAAGAGTCACAACCGAAGAAAATGGAACCTTAAGGGCTGCGATTGACTGCTGGACGACTCAGGCACGACTGAGCTGATATTTTTGTGATTTTTCGTTTTTATAACTTTTGAAATTTTTTCTATTTAAAATAATATGGTTGAATGAATGGTTTGCTTTAAAATTAAGCAATTACTTTTTCGTCTTTTCTGGAAGGTTGGAAGCAGTGCAAAATGTAGAGAAACTCTCTAGTTCTATTCTGGCGTAGAGAAATTCTAAGAACGTCAATTAGTTCACTAAATACACGTGGTTGTTCTCGCCGTGTTTTCAAAATTTTTATGTCGAAATATTGTTCATCAAATGCAGTTTTTTTGCAATAATAGTTTCCGATTCAGAGATTAATCGTAATTAAAAGTTCCGTGCATAGTACCAGTACAATTCTTCTCATGTTCTGCACTACCACACTGAAAGTATCACTGTTTATAAACAAACATGTTTTCTTATCTCGTGCAATTTTTGTGCGACCGCCACGCGGTTGGCTTGTGTACCACGTTAGTCTCATTTTTGTCGTCAGGTGATCTGCACGCACATTTTCTTCATTATTCTTGAGTTCCTTAATTTATCCTTGCATTGTTACGTAATCTTTCTATGCTTTTTCGCGATTGTACGCGAGTGATGTGAAGCGTTCGTTAAACGCTGATTGTACATACGTGGAGGTAAAACGTGAGTGATGTTCCGTCGGATACTATTTTGTTTTATACGCGTAATTCATCATTCTTATAATGTGAATAATTATGGTCCTTGCAAGTTATTGGATATGACAAAACGCAAAAATTTATTTTGAATCAAGGTATGTTCTCGCATTTCATCAGGCATATGCAAATCAAATTGATTTATTAATTGACTTCACTTGTTTTTTACTTTAACCGCGTGGCCTTAAGCAGACAAATAATTTATGTCGCTGTTGCAACACATATCGTTGATTTGCATTACGAATTCAATACATTGTTTCGTTTTCGTTTAACGCATAAATAAAAAAGATTAAAATGGCCGTCGGCCACGTTCTTGATCTTCTGGCGGCTTACCGGGCTGGTCGCCAGTTGTTTTACATGATTAAAAATAAAAATGCTATTTTGTTATGTTTTGTTACTCTTTTACTTTGCTTTGATTTGCGCTGCAAACATTTTGATTTTTTAAATTAAATTCAAAATTAAATTTTCATCTCTTCGATTTCCATTTTCCAATCTTCCATAATCTATAATTTTCTGGTTGTTATCTCTTTTTGTTTAGAAGATATGCGCTGTCGAAAATCGTCGATAAAAACTATCAATTAATAATAATATCATAATAATTATAATAATATTATAATTAGATTCATTTATTTTGAATAAGTATATCCTATTGACTTCTATATTTGAAGTTTTGAGTTATGTGTAAAAATTGCTATTTATTTAGATAGGGTGGTACATGCGCACTCTCGTGTACGTGTGATACACGGACACGGCCACTTAAGAACGTGACCACTCACTGATACATAGGCAATCGCTCACTACCTCATATGTATGCCACACTTTTTGAATCGCTTTGTATTTTCTGGAGGTACAATAAAGTATTCTCAGGTAGCGCAACGATGCATGTTTTAACTAAAAATATTCCTGCGAGTGAAAGTCGACGTGCACAGTTGTGATACCGGCACGCAGCTCTTAGTTCGTGCGGCAGATAAGAGTACTCCGTCGAGTATTCGTGTTTCTCGTTGTAAATTCGGTATATCGCGTTATATTTTATTAAATTTAGTGTTAATTGCCGTGTTTGGTCATTCGGTAAATATTTATCGCGTATGTAATCTTCGGAATTCAATATTGTGTGTGTTTATTACATTTTCGCGTGGATTGATCGGTTGCCGTCGGACGCCGGCCGGCCGGCTTTGTTTGTGATTATAAATAATATTTTGGACTTGTGCGAACCATTTTTGACTATTGCACAACTCGTTGGCTCAATGCGTTACCTGGTACGAATACTAATTTAAATAATTATGGAGAACAAGACGAAATTTTTGGTAAAATTTGGGTTCCGAAATTTGTCCGAAATTGTGTAACTAATGTTTTGTTTTTTCTTTATTTCAGTATCTACTCACATTTGATTTGCGGTATTCGATACACTGGTAAGTAAAACTTTTATCATTCATAGTACTTGCTTTCCTGATTTCTTGCAATTAAAAAATTGATATCCATTGAGGAAATCTTTGCTTCAATAAATGCTTCAATAAAACTCAAATCATAAATCATAATTTCATGATTTAAATTTTAGTTCATTAGCATGAACTAAAAATCATAAAATAGAATTGTTTTATTATTTTCTAAGTTGAATACGTAATCCATACGCGTAAATAATTGTAAAATCCAAGAAAATCACAAATTATTTTAATAAATATATTTTATAAATTAAATAGAATTGTATTAATTTTGAAGACCGTTCTATTACCAGCGTTTGTGTATAAACAATAGCATGATCCAAAAATCATAAAATAGAATTGTATTCGTTTTGAATCATATCAGCGTTTGTGTATAAACTACTTTCTTATCGCATTAGCCGTGCGAGATGCTACGCGTAAGATTTTCGTCGCGCTGTCGCATGCAGCACATTTTAGTTTAGTTCATATCACAGATACCGTGTCTATTGCAATTCGTGCACAAGTTCGCGTGCCGTCGACGCGTAGCCGGCTTTGCGCATCTATTGCAATTTGCGCACAAGGTCGCATGCCATCGACGCACTGCCAGCTTTACGCATCTACTGCTTTTACCTGCCGGGTCTATGAAGCAGGCACAGAGTCTTATAGTGAACTGTCGCATCCTTGCGTGCACAGTTCCGGCAAGCGCTATCGATGAATTGCAGCCAGTTGCGGGCCGGTCGCTGGAGTATCTGGACGTATTTCCGGCAACGCGTATCGTTTTCTAAATTTGCATGTTCGGTCATCAATCGACTTAGTTGTAACATGCATCTGCAGTGTTATGTTAGTGATTAATTGCGCGTTTATGTTCCTAAAAGTGTTTTTTGCTCGGTTTTGATGCGGTTTTGTGTTGATTGTTAATTATAACCTCGTAATTCAAATGTATGAAATATATTTGTTTTAATTATTGTTTTCGTTTAGTTACAGCATTCGTTGTGCCTGGTAGTCCGATAAGCTGTACACTGGTAAGTTTATAAACAAGTTTTCTATTTATCACGTACTACTTGCCTGCTGGGTCGATGAGATGGGGGTCAGCTGATTGCTCTTAAATCGCAAATACAAAAAAAATAGCAAAGAATTAACGATTGCCGGGGCCCACGGATATTCCCCGGGGTCCGCGCTCGCCCTCGACGGCCCTTATTGAATCTCCCTGTAGTTTTTTTTGTATAACACGCGAACGCGATGTCACAATAAGTTCCGAATAATTTTTCCAGATGCAGAGTTTAATTCTGTATCTCCATGTATCGAAATTTATTGCGAGAAAATTCCGTAACGCGAGTTATATTGTAAGTTGTGTGTGTGCACTGTGCACCGTAGTATTCGTTGCGCTAGGAATTGTAGTTTTTTTTAGCATAACACGCGAACGCAGAATCACAATAAGTTCGGAATAATTTCCCCAGATGCAGAATTTAATTTTATAACTCCCTGTATTGAAATTTATTGCGAAAAAATTCCGTAACGCGAGTTATATTGAAAATTGTGTGTATACGCACTAGTACTCGTTGCGCTAGGAATTGTAGTTTTTTGATATAAACCACGAACGCGGTGTCACAATAAGTTCGGAATAATTTTTCCAGAAGCAGAATTCAATTCTGTATCTCCCTGTATTGAAATTTATTGCGAAAAAAATTCGTAACGTGAGTTATATTGTAGGTTGTGTGTGTGCACCGTAGTACTTGTTGCGCTAGGAATTGTAGTTTTTCTACCATAGCACGCGAACGCAGAGTCACAATAAGTTCGGAATAATTTCCTCAGATGCAGAATTTTATTCTGTATCTCCCTGTATTAAAGTTTATTGCGAAAAAATTCCGAAACGCGCGTTATATTGAAGGTTGTGTGTGTGCACCGTAGTATTCGTTGCGCTAGGAATTGTAGTTTTTTAGCATAACACGCGAACGCAGAGTCACAATAAGTTCGGGATAATTTCCTCAGATGCAGAATTTAATTCTGTATCTCCTTGTGTTGAAATTTATAGCGAGAAAACCCCGTAACGCGAGTCATATTGAAAGTTGTGTGTGTGCACCGTAGTACTCGTTGCACTCGGAATTGTAGTTCATTTAGCATAACACGCGAACGCAAAGTCACAATAAGTTCGGAATAAATTCCCCAGATACCGAATTTAATTTTGTATCTCCCTGTATTAAAGTTTATTGCGAAAAAATTCCGTAACGCGAGTTATATTGAAGGTTGTGTGTGTGTGCACCGTAGTATTTGTTGCGCTAGGAATTGTAGTTTTTTTTAGCATAACACGCGAACGCAGAGTCACAACAAGTTCGTAGTAATTTCCTCAGATGTAGAATTTAATTCTGTATCTCTCTGTATTAAAATTTATTACAGGAAAGTTCCGTAACGCGAGTTATATTGAAAGTTGTGTGTATACGCACTAGTACTCGTTGCGCTAGAAATTGTAGTTTTTTTGATATAACACGCGAACGCGGTATCACAATAAGTTCGGAATAATTTTTCCAGATGCAAAATTTAATTCTGTATCTCCCTGTGTCGAAATTTATTGCGGCAAAGTTCCGTAACGCGAGTCATATTGAAAATTGTGTGTGTGCACCGTAGTACTTGTTGCGCTAGGAATTGTAGTTTTTCTACCATAGCACGCGAACGCAGAGTCACAATAAGTTCGGAATAATTTCCTCAGATGCAGAATTTTATTCTGTATCTCCCTGTATTAAAGTTTATTGCGAAAAAATTCCGAAACGCGCGTTATATTGAAGGTT